GTGGGATAGTGTGTGTGTGCGTGTTGTGTGTGGTGTGGTGTGTGTGTGTGTGGTGTGTGGTATGGTGTGTGTGTGTGGTATGGTGTGTGTGTGTGTGGTGTGTGGTATGGTGTGTGTGTGTGCATGTGGTGTGTGTGTGGTGTGTGATATGGTGTGTGTGTATGCGTGTGGTGTGTGTGTGGTATGGCGTGTGTGTGTGGTAGTGTGTGTGTGGTATGGTGTGTGCGTGCGTGTGGTGTGTGTGTGGTATGGTGTGTGTGTGCATGTGGTGTGTGTGTGGTATGGTGTGTGTGTGGTATGGTGTGTGTATGCATGTGGTGTGTGTGTGGTATGGTGTGTGTGTGGTATGGTGTGTGTATGCATGTGGTGTGTGTGTGGTATGGTGTGTGTGTGGTATGGTGTGTGTATGCATGTGGTGTGTGTGTGGTATGGTGTGTGTGTGGTATGGTGTGTGTATGCATGTGGTGTGTGTGTGGTATGGTGTGTGTGTGGTATGGTGTGTGTATGCATGTGGTGTGTGTGTGGTATGGTGTGTGTGTGGTATGGTGTGTGTATGCATGTGGTGTGTGTGTGGTATGGTGTGTGTGTGGTATGGTGTGTGTATGCATGTGGTGTGTGTGTGGTATGGTGTGTGTGTGGTATGGTGTGTGTATGCATGTGGTGTGTGTGTGGTATGGTGTGTGTGTGGTATGGTGTGTGTATGCATGTGGTGTGTGTGTGGTATGGTGTGTGTGTGGTATGGTGTGTGTATGCATGTGGTGTGTGTGTGGTATGGTGTGTGTGTGGTATGGTGTGTGTATGCATGTGGTGTGTGTGTGGTATGGTGTGTGTGTGGTATGGTGTGTGTATGCATGTGGTGTGTGTGTGGTATGGTGTGTGTGTGGTATGGTGTGTGTATGCATGTGGTGTGTGTGTGGTATGGTGTGTGTGTGGTATGGTGTGTGTATGCATGTGGTGTGTGTGTGGTATGGTGTGTGTGTGGTATGGTGTGTGTATGCATGTGGTGTGTGTGTGGTATGGTGTGTGTGTGGTATGGTGTGTGTATGCATGTGGTGTGTGTGTGGTATGGTGTGTGTGTGGTATGGTGTGTGTATGCATGTGGTGTGTGTGTGGTATGGTGTGTGTGTGGTATGGTGTGTGTATGCATGTGGTGTGTGTGTGGTATGGTGTGTGTGTGGTATGGTGTGTGTATGCATGTGGTGTGTGTGTGGTATGGTGTGTGTGTGGTATGGTGTGTGTATGCATGTGGTGTGTGTGTGGTATGGTGTGTGTGTGGTATGGTGTGTGTATGCATGTGGTGTGTGTGTGGTATGGTGTGTGTGTGGTATGGTGTGTGTATGCATGTGGTGTGTGTGTGGTATGGTGTGTGTGTGGTATGGTGTGTGTATGCATGTGGTGTGTGTGTGGTATGGTGTGTGTGTGGTATGGTGTGTGTATGCATGTGGTGTGTGTGTGGTATGGTGTGTGTGTGGTATGGTGTGTGTATGCATGTGGTGTGTGTGTGGTATGGTGTGTGTGTGGTATGGTGTGTGTATGCATGTGGTGTGTGTGTGGTATGGTGTGTGTGTGGTATGGTGTGTGTATGCATGTGGTGTGTGTGTGGTATGGTGTGTGTGTGGTATGGTGTGTGTATGCATGTGGTGTGTGTGTGGTATGGTGTGTGTGTGGTATGGTGTGTGTATGCATGTGGTGTGTGTGTGGTATGGTGTGTGTGTGGTATGGTGTGTGTATGCATGTGGTGTGTGTGTGGTATGGTGTGTGTGTGCATGTGGTGTGTGTGGTATGGTGTGTGTGTGCGTGTGGTATGGTGTGTGTGTGTGGTATGGTGTGTGTGGTAGTGTGTGTGTGTGTGGTATGGTGTGTGTGTGGGGTGTGTGTGGGGTGTGGTGTGTGTGTGGGGTGTGGTGTGTGTGTGGTGTGTGTGTGGTATAGTGTGTGTGCGTGTGTGTGTGTGGTTTGTGTGGGGTGTGGGGTGTGTGTGGTTGTATGTGGGGGTGTGTGAGGGGGGGCAGCCCTGGGGATGGGAGGGGCTTGATCTCCCAGACACTCGCCCACCCAGTGATATGCACTGACCCCCGCCAGGGCTGTCACCAGTGATGGAACAAACCCAAGAGCTGCCTCTGGAAGGACAGACCCTCATCCACAAGGAAGGGCGGTCAGTTAGGGCCCAGCCTGGTGGACAGAGGTCAAGCCACGCGGAGGGGCGAGAAGGGCCCGAGAGGCCTCAGGAGCAGCAGCATGTGCTCTGAGACCCGGAAGCAGACGGCCCGCCTGGGGTGCCGCACAGGAGCCTGGGGGGAGGGCACAGAGGCCGAGGCGAGGGCAGGGGGATGAAATATGCCGTCTACCTGTGACATCTGGTTTATTTTATTTTAAATATTTTTTTGATTTCAGAGCGGAAGGGAGAGGGAGAGAGAGAAACATCAATGATGAGAATCACGGACCGGCTGCCTCCTGCACGCTCCACATGGGATGGAGCCACAACTCGGGCCTGTGCTGACCGGGAATCGAACCCTGACCTCCTGGTTCATAGGTCGACGCTCAGCCCTGGCCCTGCAGCCGGCGCATCTGGTTTATTGACGTGTAATGTACAGAGTGAAACCCACCCATTCTAGTTTTCCCAGTTACGGCTTCTGGTCACGGCCTATGGTCACGGTTCCACCACCCCCACGCGGGCCAGGGCCCGGCTGCCCAGCCCCTGCACCCTCTGCAGCCAGCACCCCGGCGTCCCCCGGCCCCCGCCCAGGGCCGTCACGGACGCTTCCTGGCTCCACCGTGACCTTCTCCCCAATGTCGTGCACGTGGCACCACACAGGTGCTGGACTTGGGGTGTGACCCCTCACTCAGCGGGACACATGCGAGCCCCCGGGGAGGACCGGGGTCTGCCGGTTGCTGCTCACTTGAGGGACATGTGACTTGTTCAGTTTGGGGCCCTCGGAAAAAGCCACACTCAGAAGGCCTTGTGCACGTCTCCTTTCACCCGCTTTCCAAGGTCTCCATGGAGACACCGAGCCTCTCTACGCGTGGGTCCCAGCCTTCCCCGAACCCTCTCTGGGGACGTATCTGCTCAGTCGTCTGCCCATTGAGTGGGTTGTTGGCTTTCTTACTGCCGAGGTGTCAGGGTGGCTCCGTGCGCGGGGAGCCCACCCTGGGTCAGTGTGTCACACACCCTCCCTCTGAGTGGCTCGCCTGTCTTCATTCTGTGAATATCTTCTGAGAACAAAGTTTCTTATCAGTGTTTCCTTTTGTGGCTCCAGCTTTTTGTATTTTAAGGTAATCTCTGCCCAACTTGAACTGCTAGGGTTCCCTCCTGTTTCCTTGCGGAGGTTTTGTGATTTGACATCTGTGTGGGTGACCCACGTCCAGTTAACTTCGTGAGGGAGACAGGGCTGTGCTACCGGCTGGACTGTGCTCCCTTTCCTATGCTGAGACCTTAACGTCCAAGGTGACTGGGACAGGGCCTCGGAGGAGGCAAGCAGGTGAGATGAGGGCCTCAGGGTGGGGCCCTGGTCCCCGATTCGTGTCCTTACCAGGAGAGGCACCCACTGAGGGAAAGGCCCCGCGGGGACATGGGAAGGTGGCCCTGCACAGGCCAGGAGAACAGCCGGAGATGAGCCGACCTTCCTGGGACCTTGGACTTGGACTCCCAGCCTCCAGACCATGAGCAACAGGTTTCGGTGGGTGAGCCCCTCAGTGTCAGGTCTCGTTATGGCGGCCCAAGCCGACGACAACGGTAAACGTCAGGCTCACAGACTGGCATGTGGTTGCCTGCACGTCTCAAGCACCGTTTCTGAGGCCGCTCTGCACGAGCTCCTCTGCGGCACCAGGGAGCGAGCGCCCGCAGCGGGGAGTCCCTCCAGGAGTCGGCACAACTCTATCAGGCCTACGGCCTCCCCCCACCCCACAGCTCACAGCCAGCCTCTGGTTCAGGAAGGTGACGGCTCCAGCTGAGCTCTTCTCTTCAAAACTGTTTGCTACTCAAGATGTCCTGCTTTTCTACAGACGTTTTAGAACTGGTTTGTACATTTCTGCCCAAAGCCCCTCTTGTCTTTGACTGGGGTAACATCAAATCCGTTGATTGATATTAGAAGAATCGACGTCATCTAATGCACGAACATGACATGGTGCTCGATTTATTTAGGTCTCTGAGTCCTCTAGCCCCGTGGTCGGCAAACTGCGGCTCGCGAGCCACATGCGGCTCTTTGGCCCCTTGAGTGTGGCTCTTCCTAAGCCATTGGAGTCCCCTAATTAAGATAATAACAATGTACCTACCTATATAGTTTAAGTTTAAAAAATTTGGCTCTCAAAAGAAATTTCAGTCGTTGTCCTGTTGATATTTGGCTCTGTTGACGGATGAGTTTGCCGACCACTGCTCTAGCCCATGTTTTGGAATTTGCAGCATACAAGTGTTACATACATATTTTTAGAGTTTCCAGTAATACGGAAATATTTCATGTTTTCAGTGATTTCATGGTATTTTCCCAATCTCAATTATTAACTGCTAATATAAACACTGACTGCATTCTGTGATCTTGCTACATTCACGTTAATTTTAGTATTTTTTTTATGGCTTAAAACAACAGAAATGGATTGTCTTAGTTCTGGTGGCCAGAAGCTCAAAATTAAGGTGTCAGGGAAGCCACGCTTCCTCGGGGAAGGGTGAACGACCCTGCCGCGTCGCCTCTTCGCTCCTGTGGCTCCCCTGAACGGTGGGCACACGTTGGCTTCTAGTTGCCTCGGGTTCATGAACGTTTTATTAGTCAGTCCTTTGGGGGATTTTCTGCAGAGACAAGCACGTCGATTGCTGCACCTCTTCTCTCTTCGTCTGATTTATTGCCAGGGGCAGGACGTCCAGTACAACGCTGAACAGGCATGGAGACAGCAGACGCTGTGGAGGAACAGGACTCGGTCTTTCTCTGCTGAGCACGTCATCGCGGCTGGTTTCCCACAGTGCCCCTCACCAGACTGAGGGCGTTTCCTTGAATTTCTATTTTATGTAGGATTTTAAAAATCATAAATGTTATTGAGATGATTATATAGTTTTTCTTTTTTGATATATTAAATTGTATGTATTGATTTTTAAATGTGAACCAATAAACCTTGCTTTTGTCCTCATGTATTATTTTAATGTGTGTGTGTGTGTGGGTGTGCGCGCCTGCGCGTGCACAGCTAGATTCAGTTTGCTACAATTATATAGACTTCTGTGTCTATATTCATGAGAAATATTGGTCAGTGATTTTTTCCCGTTAGTGTCTTCGTTGGGGTTTGACATCAGAGCCATGCTGGCCTCGTAAAATTGAGAAATATCCTCTTTTTCTATTTCCTGGAGAGTCTGTGTGGAACTGGCATTATTTCCTCCTTAAGTGTCTGGCACACTTCACCAATGGGGCCCACCGAGCCTGTGGTTTTCTTTGTTAAAAGGTTTTTAACTACGAATTTAATTTCTTTCATAAACACAGTCCTACTCAGCGTATCTGCTTTCTCAGGTCTGTTCGTGAATGAGCCTGACGGCCGTCAGTGCACTTTTCCTGTCACTGACACTGCTAGAGCCTTGCCATGCAGTTGTCCATAAAACCTGTCACCCAGATGATGTCGCAGGATCTGCAGTGATGCTCCCTCTTCCGTTCCTAAGGACGATTCTCGTCTTCATCAGTCTGGCTAGATGTCTGCTCACGTCATTGGTGTGATTTTCCAGGTGATCATTCTGGCTGTTGTGTTGAAGGAAGACCGAGAGGGTGAGAGCAGAGAGCAGCTGGGACCAGGAGGGCAGTGGGGAGGCCAGCATGGTCCTAAGCCAGATGGACTGTGAAGGCAGAGTCAGAGCTACGATAAGAGATCAGACACTGATCGGAAACGGGGTAAGAAAGAGAGGAGCAGCTGGAAGAACAGCCCACACCGACAGGACGGGCGGGAAGGCGGGGGTGAGCCAGGGCTCTGGACCGCTCACTGGGACTCCAGGTGCAGATGGTAACCAACCGTGGGACGCACAGGAGGGACGCGGGGAGGCCTGGGCTACCTACCAAAGCAACGGAGACGGGGCGGGGCAGGACGGAAGGTCGGCCAGACAGGGAGAAGCAAAAGGGTTTCAAAGAGAAGGGAGAAGAGGTGGCAGCGAGGCCAGGTCAGGGCTCAGACCGCCGAGAGCAGCGGCGGGGCTGTGCGCGGGGCAGTCCCACGGGAGACGAGGGGTGAGAAAGGAGAGACGGTGTATGCGTCTCTTGAGCTTTTGCTTTGAGGGAAGAAGAAAAACCGGGAAGTTGGTAGAGGGGAAGAGAAGGGTTTTTAAAGATGGGAGAAATGATAGCATGTTCATGTTTTACACACATAATCCAGCGGAGCACTGACGGAGGGGAGAGCGGGGTAGGTAATGAGAGCAGGCTGTGTGCGCGGGCGGGGCCTGGCCCATCAGCTAGTAAGGGTGCGACGCAGGGGGGCAGGGGCTGGGCAGGATGCGCAGGTGCCCCTGGTGACTGATTTTCTCTGGGAGGGGGAAGCAGTGATCAGGAGGGTTAGGGTGGGGCCCACAGGGTGCAGGCTCCCTGGCCCCTCGGAGGCTGGGCCTGATGAAGGCTCACTGGGGAGGGGCAGGAGCGGTGCTGGGTGATGTCCCTGTGCCTCAGTTTCCTCATGTGAAAAGGCGACACGGTCAGTGCCCAGCACAGGCGCCTTGACAGCCGTTCTCGGTGCCCCCTGCAGGCCCATGGCCCCTGCACACCCGCCAGGGTGGCTCCCGGTGACCCCGCTCACCTGGGGCCAGCTTGATCTCCAGCGCCGTGCGGATGAGGGCCATCAGCGTGGACGTGAAGTGGACGGTCATGTCCTCGCTGGAGATGGGCATGTTCATGCGGACCAGGCGCTGGGAACAGGGGCAGGTCAGGGCCAGGCTTGCCGGGGTCCCCCCCAGAGCCCGTCAGTGCTGAGGCCCCTGGAGGTGACCCCTGCAGCGCCCGGGACAAGATGAGACTGGGACCTGGGAGTTTTGCCAGCAGCCCTGTTCCCGCACCAGCCCTCCCGTGAGCTGAGGATTCTCCGCTGCAGAGAAGTGGACAGACGGCCAGGTGAAGGGGCCCTGGGCTGGCCAGGGCCCGGCTCGTCCTGACAACAGGCCCCTTCTCAGCCGTAGGCCCCTCTGCCCCCGCCCCTGCCCGAGGGGGTGGGGTGTGGGGTGCAGGACCAAGGCTGCATCCTGGACAACAGGAGGGTCGATCCCTGCCTTACTCCTGGGCCCATCTCTCCCAGCACAGCCTGGAGCACCGACAAGGGCGGGGGCAGCGCTGGGCTCCAGAGGCGACATTAGGTCCAGGAAGCCTCTGCCTCTCTCCAGGGGAAAGACCCCGAGGAGCTGGGGCTGCAGGGAGAGGTGCGGGCCACGCCACAGGGGCACGGGGCTCCAGGCCAGACGGGCAGGGGTGCGTCCCTTTCCTCCCTCAGTTTCCGAGGACAGAGCAGCCCTGCGCCCCACCCGCTCCGTACGTCAGGCGGAGGCTCTGAGGATGCACGGGCCTCCTGGAGGAAGGGTCTCAGGGGTCTGCAGCGCCCTGAGCACAGAGGGTACCTGCCTACCTGTCCCCTCCCAGCGGCCTGCTGTCCCCTCCACAGCATGGGAGCTGGAGGTGGGGCAGGGCCCACCGGGGGCTGGGGAGGCCATTCTGCCCCCAGCACCGCCAGCGTCCTGGCCCCAAATGGAATCCTCAGCCTGATGGAGGGCGGGAGGCCAAGACACAAACCACCCCCCCTAA